TAAAAAAATTCAGAATTTTCTGAGCATTTGGTGATCTGTCTCTTATACACATCTAGATGTGTATAAGAGACAGACCAGACTCTGTGTGTGTGTGTGTGTGTGTGTGTGTGTGTGTGTGAATTTGCATACAGATCTGCACATGAGAATTGAAGGAGTTCAAATAAAGAATTCCATGCATCTGGCACATGAGAATGAAGGAGTTCAAATAAGGAATTCCATGCATCTGGCCTAAGTTTCAGCTATCACCTGCTTGCTACTCCCCTTTCTCCCCTGATTAGCTCCTCCAACACCCCTATACCATGTTGGTCCTATGATTGACCCAATTATCTTTGCCTTTTACGAGTGGAATTTTTTGTATTATTTTACCAAACTCCCATGCCAATAATTCTGCTAGATGGTCAAACTGACGCAAGAAAAGAGCAAACGATTTGACTGATTGCCATGACCAGATAGAACAAAGTACGCCTAACGAGGACAAGTTGGATGTCACTTCAAACATCTAGTGGGAGATGCAATGGGCAAGACAGCTTCCTTAGCAAAACCATGCAATGTAATGAAGATAGCCAAATTCTCTTTGTGAAGGACTCAAAAAATACGCAATCGGTCTTTTGGGACGTCCGTCAAAATTAGAACGATGCACTGAAGATTACCATGGCCCCTGCGCAACAACAAATAGAAAAACATGTTATACAGTAATAAGGGGAAAAAGTCCTTCGGGACATCCATTAAAACTGGAACGATTCAGAGAAGATTAGCACGCCCCCTGTGCACAGATGACACACATAAATCGAGAAATGGTCCAAATTAACACAAAAAGGGGAAAAAAAAGTGAAACAACAGGGCAAAATACTACATAGTAGTCCTTTGGGACATCTGATAAAATTGGAATGATACAGAGAAAGATTAGCATGTCCTCTGCACAAGGATGACACACATAAGTCAACAAATGTTCCACACTGTAAACCACCAGTACCTTTGTCGGTTCGAAAATACTCGGCCTCCGACCTTTCAGGAGGCCGAAACGAAACGACGGCTGCCGATCAGATTGATCAACGTCGGGCTCGGCCTCCTGAAAGTTCGGGTACTGGCCAGGACTTGTCGAAACCGGACGCCAAAGGTACTAGT